ACTCTGTCTTTTGTGGGGGTCTCTACTTGACTGGGACCAGCAGTATCAACAGTGTCTTAAGCATGGGCTAACTGAGATTTCCTAGACTAGGGATGAGCAAACAAGCTGAGGCAGGAATCTTGTTTGCATATGCTGTGCCATAATGACCCCCTTATTTCCCCCCAGGTACACTGCCTATGCTGGAAGAGATCTATCTGGAGGCACCTGAAGACTCATGGAAGGTGACCCTAGGAAGGGCAGCACTGGGATAAATCTGGTTAAGTGAGAAAGTTTCAAAGGTACAGCTGGGAGTTAGGCGCTCAGTGGCTCTAAATGGGCCATTTATGCCTTTTAAAATTGCCCAGGGGGCTGCCTAATCAGCTTCCCACAGGCTGGGTTTACAACAGCATGGGACTTGCTGTCATTTAGGAATGGAGGAATGGCTGGATCAGAGCTGAAGTCTCTCTGGTCCAGTGTCCTGTCTCTAACAATGTCCAGCACCCATTTTTCACACTGAGATCTATGGAGTTCAAGGCTGGTTGAGGCCCAGTCATGTGAAGATCACTAACCCCTCTGTGATGTTTGTTGCCATTAATGACTCCTGAAATTCTTGCCACATGTTGGCTGATTGGAAAAAAATAGAGCATATTGTTGAATACATTATATTAAAAAATACATTTAATTTTTTTTCAGGTTTTCCCCACAAACTCTTTTAGCCTATTCTAATCATAGGGGGACAGATTCTGATCTTACTTATCAATGCAAATTCAGAGTAATTCACTGGCTTCAGTGGAGCTGCTTTGGATTTACACTAGAGTGAAAGGCAAGCTCTAGACCAAGGTACCAAAAGGCCTCTCTTGTAGCTTACAGCTTATTTGGATTCTTGGTCTTTTCTTGATCACTGAGGTGTATCACTGGAATGCCAATAGGACTAGTGAGTGTTGCCTTTGAGGAAAGGTAACATTCATGTCAAGCCACTCTGGTGAGGTTAAATATTCTTCACATATATCTAATTCATTTTGGAACTAGACATGTGCACATACACGCACACACACATGCACACACAAAATGGACTCTCACCGGAGTTTGAGAAACAAAGATAAAGGTTGCCCCTTCTGCAAAATGCTGCACAGAGAGTTTCTGAGCTGAGTTATTCTGAGAAGTGCTTGTTCATATCAAGGAGTCTCAGAAGGGTTTAAATCTACACTAATGTGGAGGATCCCATTAAAAAGAAGCATTTGAGCAGATTACCTATGAGAGTAATTAACACCATCTAAGTGCTAATTTAGGCCTTTGCAGTAATGGATGCAATGGAACACTTGAGTGAAGCAAGCTAGATGAGGCCTAGGGTGAGCCAAGCTGTAGTTCTGCTTAGAAGAAAGGCAGAAATTTTCAGTGGCAGCTTAATGCACAGAGAAATTACAGATCAGCCAGAGCTGAAGGGTAGGAACTAAGTGCATGTTTTACCTGTGGCTTGCGTGGTCACATTAGAAACTAAATTTCTTGCTGCTGGGGTGCTACTAGAAAACACGAATCTTCATATGGTGTGAGTGAATATCCATCAGGAAGTGTCTTATGGTTTGGGGAAGGAAGAAAAATCCTAGCTATTGAGAAGGAAGCTTTCCTGGTCCTGATCTTGGAGCCTTACATTTGGACTGAACTGTCCATTCCAAACCTTTGGCTAAATGGTGGAGCAAAAATGAATCTGTAGGGTAGCATGGGCCAGATTTCTTTGGCAAGTGTGCCACAAATTAGCCCAGCACCCTCTGTATCTGTCACACTAATTCCCTTTCCCTGCCTGATCTGTTGTTCTGCTTCTTGCCTTGCTGCTGGGTTGTCTGTCCCCTCCTTGATCTGCTATTTGCCACCTGCACAGGATACCTGTGCTACTTGTGGCATCCATGCCACAGGTTGGCCACTCCTGTCATAAGATATGAAATAGGCTTTTGCAAGTGGATGACATTCTGCCTTTGCTATTCTTTTAGGTCCAGATCCAGGTTCAGCACTGTCAATGGGGATCTATTGGATCTGTCCACTGGCAAACAACTCAAGTAAGCTTAATGCCTTCTCCCTCCTTTGTTTTTTTGCTTACAAACTTACAGGCAGTTCTGCTATTCATACACATTGCTACCAAATGAAACACTTGCTCTCACCTGTGTGCTACCACCAAACATATTAGAAACTTTGGGCTGTTTAATGATGACACTGGAAGATAAATGCCTGTAAGAAGCCAGTGCTTTTAGTATTGTCAGTGAATGGCAAAACCTCGTTAGGGTATCAGAGGGCTTCAGAGACGGCTTTTTTGCTGGAGATTGATGCCCAAGAGGGAATTGTGGCTCCAGTGGCAGCCCTGAAATCATTCCCTGTGGACTGAGTGCACCGCCACTGATTGACATGCCATATGGTGTACATTCAGAATGGAGCCCCAGAGGCCTAAAACTGTGCTCACGGAAGTCATGGGTGCCGGATCAGACTGGAATGCTCATAAGGTCTTTGGTTCCAGCCCTCTAATGAAACAACATTGGGAAGTGAAGTGCAGGGCCAGCTGCATGAGCTCCCAAGGACAGAGCATGTCTACCTTGATGATGCAGGTTGCTCAAACCCTTTGCTCCTCAAGAGTACAGAGCATATTACTAAGCCAGAAGGCTGAGGACATGCATGCACCCAGCCTAACCCCAGCATCCACTACCACCCCTCTACCTTTACCAGCAATTCAGATTGCTAAAGCAACAGCTAGGAGCTACATGCTGGACTGGGCCACATCAGGTAGTTGGTCACAAGGCTGCAGCTGCCTGCCAACATGTATGTGGCAGGTCATGCGCACGTTTGTGGGTGAATTCTATTGTGGGTGCATATGTAGAAATGAAGACCAGAGCAGCAGATGTGGTCCCACATTAGTAAAATTAACTATTATATTGCCAATTGTGAGCTACTGTCCAAATCCTATGCCTCACTCAGATCAACACAGGACTTCAAATGAGAACAGAAGGCCTAAATAAGTAACAGGTGTCAAGACTCAGGGCCATATAATGCCTCTGAGGCACAAAGAAACAACTGGCAGTGTTGGGAGAGTTGATGCAGATCAAAGACAAGTTATGCCACAAAAGGCTCTAGTCATTTCTCTCTTCTTGGGATGTCTCCATCTGTCAGTTTGACTAGTGCTATCTCCTTGCATATCCAGAGAGAAAAGATGTTTCCAAGTGAGCATGAATCAGGGCACAGAGCTGGAAGTGTGATGAAGCAATGAGGATGGAATATGGAAAGCTAAAGGGAAGAGCTAGGGGCAGTAAATGGAAAAGTACCACAGTAGAAGTGATACAAACTTTCAGCATGGGGGGAAGCCTGGCACGTGAAGGGGTTCTGTCCTGCAGTGTTAAAATGGGAGAGTTTATGTCTCTGTGCCTGACATTTGCAACTCAGTCTTTCAAGATGCCCCTTGTTTCTGCCTGGTCAATTAATGATCCATAATGAAGGCAAACCAACGAATCACAAAGAATGAGAAGAGACAATGGACAGAGAGATGAGACGGTCCACAGAGGATATGGAACAGAACTACGGTATGAATCAGGAATCAATAGAAACTTTATTTTTCCATGTGGCTGTGTACCATAGATATGGATCATCACAATTAGTGTACTCACTGACTATGGTTGTGGACAATACACACAAATAAAAATCAATGAAGGCAAACAAATGAAAATGAAATCATTGTACACAAATGCAATAATAACCCTGAACACCCTGAATCAGTCTTTTCATTTTTACCCAAGAAAGAACAATAAAAGGAACAAAAACCCTTTAAAGTGAAAACCATGTCTACAAGAACAAAAAAAGTTCATTATATTCTTAAATGAAAACTTACAACAGGATAATTAAAGTCTTCCACAGATTGTTCAAAACAAGTGCAAAATACCCCAGCCAATTGTTACAGAAACGTCAGACAACCTCCAGCTAGATCAGAAGAAACTACCAAGTGATGTGCTGGGTGTGATTTAGGCTAGCTTGGGTTACAAGGAAGGCCAAGGAAAGAATGCAAATGAAAGAGACATCTAGGGGGACAGATGCACAATTTTATCCCTGAAGTTTCTCTGCTGAATATTTCTTTCACAATATTTAGGGCCAGATTTTCAATGGGTTTACAAACTGGCATATCTCTCTGCTGAAGTTGACTGACTGATGCTGATGAATGTCAATTGAGGATATAGCTTTATAATATATATATGTGTGTACACATATATGTGCATATACTTTTTATACACACACACACACACACACATATATGTATATACGTACACATGCACACACAGACACATACAGACAAACACACATGAGCCTCTGATTGGTACTCAGATTTTCCATGGACTTTAAATGTGAAATTCTCTTTACTGCATTGATTTTAGGGGAGTCACAAGGGAGGCAGAAGAGATGCTAGGAACCACCATGTTGTGACCCTGAAGCCTGGCTTCTCATTTACTTTGGCAAGGATGATCCATTAGGGCCCAGTTCTACCACGCTTCCTTACAATGGGTGGCTCCTTGAGAGATAATGGGATGATTCACAGCAGGTGACCCCCAAACATAAGTGGCAGGATTGGGCCCTAATCTTCCCTTAAACTGCCATCTGATTTGTGCAAGGTGTTCATGCCTGCCCTCAAATGCAGCACATGTGTGCACCTGGTTATAGGAGCTGGGACTGTGTCTGCCTGTATATCTGCATACCTATAGCTGTCCATCAGACAGATAACAGTTGGGAAGCC